AGCATTCGTGCGAACTTCGTTCTCTACATGGAACTTTCCGAATTACGTTGCGGCCCAATGGCCTTAATCCCGCTCCTGGTGAAGTCCATCATATTTCTCTAGTGATATGGAGTTTAGTCGGCTTTGCAATAGCTGGCTTCATTTTTCTCCGTCATTCGCGGTATGTATTTGTATGCAACGTAGGGATGATAGGAAAAGCGGCGCATGGTTGTATGCACAACACGTCTACAGCAATAGTTCTGTGTGCGTCCATGTGCCTGCGGCAAGGAATTGGCACCACACCGATGATCTGTCGGAGAGATGGCACCGGGGTGTGAAAAACATGAAACAACCATCATTTCACAAGACGATCGCACTCGGTACCATCTCTTTGCCGCATACGGTGCGCAGAGGCGGGCCACACGCTGAGCCCCCATTGATCGTCCAAACTTGACGAATAATTTACACAGGATGGCGCATCACGCGTAAATAAGAGCGAGGAAGAATGTGACGTTTGTTCCATCGATTGTTTCCAGAAGTGTGATAGCTTTCGAGAGATGGGTAGCGCACCCGAAACGGGACCTGTCCCCCTTTCTAGAGAATACACCGGAGCCGGCGTCTTTCAGGACGAGAACACGAGACCAAGAAAACAAAGACAACAAGGTAAATAGAGTAAACCAGGGTATTAACGAACACCCCCCCTTTAACGAACACTTTTTTCAAATGCACGTCCCTCGGCGCACAATGCGCGGAGCCCCCCAATTTTTTTTTTGAAATCTTCAGCTTTCCGTTAGCTTTCGTTTGAGCACCTCCGCGTGTCGATCGGGTCAAGCACTCCCGAGATACAGCACAGCCCTCACCCACACCCCTTATGTGGGGAATCTTTGCCCTTTTCGGGGTCCTGCTGCTAAGCATGGGACGTAAGAGAGTAGACCCAGAGCAGGCCCAGAAGGCTGTAGATGCGGTACGCAGCGGTGAGATGTCGCTCCGCGTTGCTGCGAGGACCTACGGGTTACCGCTAGCCTCGCTGCACGACCGTGTGAAGAACAAGGTGGCCATAGATGCGAGGGTTGGTCCCGGGACTGTCCTGAGCAAGGAGGAGGAAGATTTCGTAGAAGACGTCTTGATCTACGCCTCCCGACACTTCTTGCTGTTGGGTCGGAGGGAGCTGAGAGACGCTGTGCGCAACATCTGCACCGACGGGCGCAAGGTGCCCTGGGACCCAGACAAGGGCCCTGGGGACAGCTGGCTTGAGGGGTTTATGGCGAGACACCCGGGTTTGTCGGAGCGAGCCACCCACATCTACGAAGCAAACCGGATTAACGAAGACGGCGAGCCTCGCCTTCAAGCTTTCTACAAAGCATGGGCGGAGTACCTGGAGGAGACCAAGCTCCCGCCGGAACGCATCCTCAACACGGATGAGACAAGTGAGTTAGGGCAAGGGTTGAGGTGTCAGTAGGTGTCATTGGGTGTCAGCGGTGTCAGTATCGACTGCTGTGGGTTCGTAGGCGAAGTACCAGCAGCACTGCGATGTGTCACAACAACGCGGAGTTCTGCTGCTGCAAAAAAAAAAGATCCAGCAGTTGTCCCGCATATCTTCCGAGCCGTTGCTGCTTGTCATGCGCGTAGCACACAACACGCCCGCATGTTTGCTGCTGGAGTCGGCTGAGGTTAGCATGTAACAGTCCCTGTGGTCATCTCAGTTGCACTCTGCCGCATGATTGCATGTGTACATCGTTTTCTGTTGTGATGCTACCGGCAACAGCGGGCGTGTGTTCTTGGTCTGCAAAATGCATGTGTGTTGCTGAACGACGCGCGAAGTGCAGACTAGTCTAGTCACGTCGAGACTTCAGTAGAACGCTTTGTTTTTGTAAACCCACCTACGTTTGGAGCTCAATGCAAACTGCCATGGGTGTGGGGTTATTGTTTCGCACCCAAAGTTTAAACGAATCCGACACTTGCCGCACAAAAAATGGCCTTCACCACTGCTGTGTGCCACCACCCGGAGCGAGCAGCACCCATGTGTGTTTGTACGCGCGTTTTTTGTGTGTCTAGTTTACTGATTGTTCAACTGTCTTTACCCCCGATGCGCGCGTGTTGTAGGTTCGACCCCTCAAGGTACAAAGTCGGGGAAGGCAATCGTCGCAAGAGGCACCAAGGTACCCGGCGCGAGGCGTTCCAATTCGCGAGAAAATACGACGGTGGTCGCCACCATCGGTGCCGACGGCCACACGTTCCACCCTACCATCATCTTCAAAGGCCAGCGTATGCAACCCGCTTGGATCCAGGACAACAACGGCGTCCCCGATGCGAAGTACACCGTCACGGAGTCATCCTTCATCCAGAGCCACGTCTTCCTGGACTACCTTCGAGACCTCCGCAAGCAGCTCGATGCGCGCGGCTTGCTGGGCAAAGCTGCCCTTGTGCTCGACGGCCACGCCTCACACACGACCTTCGACGCCATCAGCTTGGGCATCTCCCTGGACATGGACCTATTCCAGCTTCCATCCCACACATCGCACATCACCCAGCCCTTGGACGTCGGTACGTTCGGAACCTTCAAGATGGAGATCACCAAGGTGCTCACGGCCTACCCGCTAAAGAACGGGGGGAGGAGTCCGGTGAAGCGCGACATGGCTGGCGTGATTGCGGAGGCATGGGCAGGGAGCTTCACGCCTGAGAACAACAAGGCGGCGTTCAAAGGGTCGGGCTTGTGGCCGGTGAGCATGGAGAAAGCTATCAACAGACTACACAGCAAGAGGAAGCAACGGGACCATGACCGCCCTATTCGTGAAGACCTCGCCGTGGTTGCCTCTAAGGATCAACTCGAGCGAGACCTCGGCCGCGCTGCCCTCCTGGAGCTGAAAAGACACGGGCTGATGATCGAGGGGCTCCGTGTCAACACCGTGTTCCTTGGCGGGCTCACCCGCCTCACCAAGCGCACCAAGGCTTTCGCGACCGTTCGGGCGGGGGGGGGGAAGCCCGAAGGTGGTCTGCTGTCCGCCGAAGAACATCTTGCTCAGGCCAAGAAGGACCAAGAAGCGAAGCAGGCAGCTGAGGAAGCAAAGGCGGCACGCGCGGAGGCAAGGGCAACGAAGGAGGCCAACCAACAATCTGGAGCAGTTGGTGGGCGGGGCGGCGGGCAGGGCGGCGGGCGGGGCGGCGGGCGGGGCGGCGGGCGGGGCTTCGGGCGGGGCGGCGGGCGAGAGGGGGGGAGAGGTGGAGGGCGCGAGGGTGGGAGAGGTGGAGGGCGGAGCGGGGGGCGTGGCGAAGGACGGGGCGGGGAACAGGACGGAGGGCGGGGAGAGAGGAGCGTGAGGGTTGAGCTAAGCGGGACGCGGACGGCGATCAGGGGGCGCGGTGGCGGTGGGCGAGAGGGGCGTGGCAGAGGACAGGGTGGCCAGGACCGCACCACTGGTGCTCGTGGAGAGCAAATGGGGGCGGGAGGGCGGGGGGGGGACGAGGGGAGAGGTGCTCCCGTCCAAGGAGGAGCGGGACGGCCGAGAGGGGCGGCGGTTCCCTTGGTTCACCCGCCGCCGTCGGCGGCTCCCATTTCTTCCCGAGGACGGCAGCGGATCCCGACACCAATCGTTGATGTTTAGACCAGGGCAGATGCTTTGCGGTTGTTGTTGTTTTTCTGGGCTACTATTGTCTAGGCGGTGGATGAATTAGACTATACGAGTAAAGCAGAAGATTAGGTGGTTTGTGGGGGCATGTGGAGATGGTTAGGGTGCACCCCAGCAGCGCGGGGGGGGCGGGGGGGTTGATACCGGGAAACCCGGGGATATGGTAATTTTGTCCCCGGGCATGCATGATTTTTTTTTTTTTTTGCAACAGCGTTTCTTGTGATAAAACAAACCTACACACCAAAGGGCGTCTTGTGGGAATGTAAGATGACTGTGAAAAAAGGGAAATGGCCTTGGGGTTCTTGCGGAGAATTATAGCGGTAGCGGCCGGGTCAAGGGGTGCCTGTTTGAACGGGCATTACATCACATGCGCGAAGTTTTTCGTCCTAATTTTTTTTTCTTGAGTCTGTATATGATCAGATTAGACCCACTGTGCAATAATCTCTTAGTTTTGGCTCTTTTCATGTGTGCAGCACCGCCGTACGGTCAAAAATGGGGTAAAATCCGTCCCCGATTTCAGGCGGAAAACCCGGGGATGTGAGGATTTTGTCCCCGGGCGTGGATCGATTCCATTTTTTTTTTTCCTAAACGGATATATGTTGCGACAGACGTATCTCCACAAAAAATCAGATCATGAAACGCTTCAGAACGCACGAAAGCAGCTACAAAGCTAAAGTGTTCGTTAATTGGGGGGGGGGGTGTTTTCCTGCATTTTCAGCTAAACAATGGAATGCACTGCATCAGCTCTATCTCGTTGACACGATTTTTTTTTTTTTTTAGGGAGGTAGCCTATAATACAAGCTATCGTCCGGTACCCACAAATACATCATACTCCTCTTCATGCCCGAGAACGAGCTGTTGGCGCGAGGGGTGGCTTAAGCGTTCGTTAATTGGCCGGTTTACTCTATGTTCTCCCGCGCCGCACATACCCCTATACATCAAAAACAAAAAATAAGTTGATGACGAAACTATACACAACCCAAGACACGCTTGCTCTGCAACCACATAAGGGTGCTCATTAATAGAACAACGGACAAACCGAGTTCCCCTAAATCTTCCGTCTACAACTTCCCAGCACAACATACAGATAGATACACAAGATGGCTACCAAACTGCCTTGTTGAGCCTGTTACCCACAGGGGAGTTATCGTTGTATGCTGTCTGGGAAACCGTAGGCATACAGGTAGCCTTTCGCTCACGCAATGGATTCATTGCTAATCTATCTTAGACGTATTTCTATAGGTAGACATGGATTTGTTGTGTGACATTCAGAAAATAAAAATAAAAAAGACGTTTCATATTTTTCGCGGAACAGAAACGCCGCCGCGCTGCGCCTCTTTTTTTCCGCCGCGTTTTTTCTTTTTTTGGTCCACGTCCTTCCACCCGTGAGCACAAGTGTTCGAACACCAAGCGTCGAAAGGAGCATCTGCTGTAAACTTCTCGAGCCATGTCTACCAAACTAGGAGCCAAGATCTTCAAGACCAAGTGCTCGCAGTGCCACACTGTTGAGAAGGTACGTTACCCAACGCACGCAACCTTCTGATTTGTCTGGCCCTCTCCCTCCTGGAAGACGCTTTTTGTGGGTCTGCGCTGGTTTTTATTGGCGGAGTCTTTTGGGTCGAGGCAAGGCTAGGCGTGCTTGGGCATGTGTATTTGGCCGCGCTGCAGAAGTGTACCTATGCCTGCCCCTCAGATAGTAGAGCGGTCGGTGTCTGCCTGTGCACGCAAGAGAGGGGTGCTTCTGCCGTGTGCCGGTTGGAAACACAAGTGTAATCGGTTTCTAAGTTTGTGTTTTTTCGGGGCCCAGTTTGGTCCGTGGTGGCTGATGACGCACAGACTTATCAGGAACCACCGTGCAAGTGAGTTCCGCCTTCCTCTCGGCTAAATGCGAGGAATGTCGCCTGTGCATGCAGCAGGAGGCATTAGCTCTTGCCCACTCTTGCGAAATAACGCACCTAGTTGCAACAGGGAGGAGCGAACGAGAGAGAGAGAGCGTACGATGACGTTGTTAATCTTTCGTGCAGCGAGCCGCTCGACGAGCAGCGTATGGTCCAGGACCGCTAAAATTGCAACGTATGCGGACTCATTCGATTCGTCATCAATCTCCATCCTGCACTGCTCTTCCTGGGTTCCTCTCGCATTATGTACCACTATGGTATGAGCGGGCGAAGACACTCACGCATACCAACCTTTCAAATGGTGCTGCCGCGCCCCCCTTTTTGCCCGCCTCCCTGCAGGACGCCGGCCATAAGCAGGGCCCCAACCTGAACGGCTTGTTTGGGCGCGCGGCGGGCACCGTGGACGGCTACTCGTACTCGACCGCCAACAAGACGTCGGGCGTGGTCTGGACCGAGAGCACCCTGTTCGACTACTTGCTCGCGCCGAAGAAGTACATCAAGGGGACCAAGATGGTGTTCGCGGGCATCAAGAAGCCGGCAGAGCGAAAGGAGCTCATTGCGTACCTGAAGGAGGCAACGGCACCGTGATGATGGTACTTCCATTTTGTTTTCTCTGCTGTCGTGTTTATGTGTGTCGTATGGTGTCGTGGACCTTTTCTAAGTCGTATGCAATATGGGACGATGATGATGCAGGCTGTTAAAACGCAATTACATCGTGTCGTTTTCGGGGGGTCCCCCCAGGTTAGTGGGGGACGGGGGGGGCTGGTAGTCGACATAATGGGCAGGATGCGTGGAGGCCAGCAGCAAGAGAGGCTGGTTTGGGTGGAGGAGTAGCTGGAGTAGTTAGAGCTGGACTGGCGCGAGGAAGGGGTGAGGAATGAGTACCCCGCCATTTGCGATATGAGGTTGAGCGTTTCGAAAATCATAGCATGAGCGAGAGACCCACCCGTTCTAGAATACACCGCGGTCGGGCACGTAAAACAGGGTCTAGAGACAGGAGCAGGGGGGCGGAGGTCGCAGCAGGAGTTGGATAAGTCGGAGTGCGTGCGACAGTTGTTTCTTTTTGGCGAATATTCTTCTTGTGGCGGCTGGCAGTTGACGACAGACAGCAGTTGCACAGGTTTTGCTTCAAATGAGAGCCTACAATATTTCCGTCTCTCGGAGGCGTGTGGTTTCGTGTGCGCTCGTTACCCACTGCTTTACTTTCTTGTCCTGCCGTCGTCACACACCACCCCTTGCCGTATCTGTTGTCCAATTTTGACTAGAATGGAGAGGGGGAACCGGGTGTACGTTGTACTGTAGGGCACAAGCGAAACTCAACGTTGCCATCGTTTAGGAAGGGGAGCACCGGCGTCCTCTTTCGGTAGCGAGCAGTACACGTTGCTGCCAAGTAATGGGCGTCGGACGGATCCCCCACGGCTCCACCTGCCATGCACCCCTTTGACCCCTCCGAGTTGCGTGCTGGAGATGTGTAATCGTAGTACATTGCGCGTTTTTTTTTTTTTGCGTAGGAACCCCGGTTTCCCGTGTTGGGGCAACAGAAGCGAATTTGGCGCGTGGGTGCAAAATGGTGCTTGGAAACATGCATGTGCTGTCTGGTTGAATATCGCTGATCTCTGTTTCGGAGTTGGCAGCAGGCTGTCGGGTGGGTGTTCCAAGTTTTTTTGTCACGTGTCGATGGTTCGTGCGTCATCGGCAATCTTTGCGGTCCGATGGTATTGTCTTGAGGTGCAGAGTCTTGACCGATCACTCCAGGTAGCTGCTGATTCTGCTTAGTCGCGTGGGCGATGCGTGAGAGGGAGAAGGGAGAGTGCTCAATAGAAGAAATCGAACGAATCACACGGCGATAATTTATTGTTTATTTTTTGAAGGAATAGCGATGCGTTGTGCCCCTTCCAATCGCTGCACTGCTTGCTGTGTGTCACAGTGCCAGGTGGCTGCCCCATATTGCTCCTAATTATCCGAGCCGCACGCGTAGCAGCGCTGTCCGCGTTGTGTCTACAATTTGCACGTGCGAAGTCGTACACGCCCGTGGAACACTGTTCTCGTTCAGCAACACTCCGCTTTCTGCGCGACGCGATGCGCTCGGCGTTCTTGGCTCTTGTTGTGGATATCACGTAGACAGCTGTATCTACATATCCTCACTGCCGCCACAACCTTCTGGGTTGGCAATCATTCGGACGTGCGCGCTCGTGCGTTCTTGGCAATGAACTCGTTTTCCACGCCGACAACCTTAACCACAGGTGGCCCAAAACTGAAGATGGCATGTTATTTTGCTGGCCGCGCCGCCTCTTTCTTCCAATGCGCCATTTTTTCTCCTCTCTCTTCAATTAGTTCTTGTCAACACCATCGTTCGGAGTCTCTTGATTGCTCCCTGATTTTGCGTCCTCACAACCAACTGGAGAGCTCCCAACAGGGGTCGCACAGCAGAAGAATCTCGTGCGGCGTTGCGTCTTTCACGCGAGAGCGATTCAGCCGTCCTTCGCTTAAGTTTACTCAAGAACACGCACAAGCGACGGCCCCGTGTAGCTACGAAAGATCGAACGGATACACACCTTCGCCGATAGTCAACTACTCCCGACGCTCTAATGTTTTGCTGCAACCTAGGCCACCCGGGCGATCAAACCGCTCGTGTGGAGCGACAACGAGAAATCGTTGGTGCTGCATGTTGGAACACCTCCGGCACGACTCGAACGCATCGACGTTGAGAGAGCTCCAGAGTGCTCAAGAGGTGAAGCAGCTGCTCAACCTCAACAACCAAAACTGATCACTCACTCATGTCCAACGTCTCTGGCTCAAAACAAAATGCTAAAGAAGCCGGTCACCACTTACGGACCCGCTCCACATATGCTGACCGGAATACACAAACAAATACGGCTCCCCGTGCCTCCCCATCGGAAGGTAGCCATAAAAACCATTCCCAGAGCCTGGTCCGGTGAGAACCCGGCGTGCTCCGTCCCGGCTTTGTAGGG